AACAATGGCATGGGCTGGACACAGTGTATACCATTGATTGACCGACTGGCTGAGGATTGGATTGGATTGAGCATCTACTTCCAGCAGGTTCCAGCCTGGCATAGTCATGTTGTGCAAAGAACCAAATTGTTTTTTAATTTGGAACCATGAAACCAGTCACAGTCCAGCCAGCTTTTGCGTCTCAATTGACATCTTTGAAATGTGGATGACAACTAGTTTGCAAATTCTTTTGCCAGACAAACTCCACACACTTATGCATGTATTTCCTCGACCAAACCTTGGGTAGAAGAAAAAGATCAGCCAAGATAACTGTTGTTTTTGTTCTCACAAGATCATTGTTCATTTGCTGCATGGCAACAATAAAGAATGTAGAGTCTAGTCGGACTCCAGTGACTGGTCTCCACGCTGCTCCAATGCAGGAATAAGAGGTGATAACTGTCTTTTTGTGTGCTCCTATTGCATGGCTAACAACCTGTGTAGTTGTGCTCATTAAGTTCATGTGTGCTTGTCATTCGGTTGCTGTCGCTGAGTCGCAGCTGATTGTCAACTATTAATGCATCATAATTAAGTTTAAAGCTGTAGCAATTGCCTAACCAGTGCCCATTTCCTAATTGACCAGAGGGAAGTTCAATTGTGCAGCAGGAGTGGGGACAAGAACTTTGTGTTGCAGCACTGCTTGGTCAGAGTCGGACACTCAATGGGTTTATTTCAATGTCATTTTTTCATGTCTGAAGCGTCCAGGCATTAACCATTTTTCTTCATTGCCTGATTACATCATTTATTGACTTTTATTGCGCAGTGCTAGCTCCCAACCATTGATCATAGTACTTGCGTTTGATACAGTTTTTGCTCAACTCATTTCAGCATATAAGAGCCTCACTTGTCCCTTTTGTTCCATTGGACTTTTGCCATGGCACGGAAGTCTGGAGGACTTCGGACGCCGTCCAAGAAGGCCTTGGAGCGGCGGGCAATCAAGGCGGAGAAGAGGTCGGTCAAGAATGAGCAGAGGTTCGCCTCTGCTGTTCAGTCCAGCAAGGCCTCACTCGTTGAGTCGGACCATCAATTTGTGCTGAGCACTTTGGAGGACAATCCGAAATGGATACAACCATTAGCCGGACTGATCAGATCAGGGTGCCTCAAATGCGTTCTGAAGGAGCACACCTTTGAAGGACCGGAATTGGTCGGACCTCGATGGAAAGGCCGAGCGCGCAAATGGCTGGACATTCCCGTGGAAATGCAGATGACCATGATCGAAGCCACAGGAGTCAAAATGCCGGACAAGTCTTCCGATCAGCCGGAGTTTGTTACACGGTGCTTCATGAGTCAGTTTTGGGTTGGACAAAAAGCACCTATTCCACAAAGGTCGGACATCCGGTTCATCTCCACCTTGGAGAAGCTGGCCAAGGCACGGGTCAAAGAGCTCAATTTGAGCTACCTGGACAAGTTCAAGGGTGCAATGGACAACCTGCTGAAGGACCCAAGTGAAATGGCAGTGTGGGAATTGGAAGACAATAGGCTGATCCTACGTGGACTGTCGCAAAAGCCGGAGGACTACAAGGAGCATGAACTAGCAGCTGCTCCTAAGGGACAATCATGGCAACTGTTGGACCCATTTGCGCCGGACTGTCATTTGACAACGGACAAGAAGTCAAGCATGTGGGACTTCCTTGCGCTGGACTTATTGAACGAGGACCAAAATGGAAAGTGGAGCGAGGAAGGACAGGACATTGACGACACCAGGTCGGAATTTACAATTCTGACGACCACAGGAGCGCCCTCAACCTCAGAGTGGACGCCAGCGAAAAGGGGAAGGGCCGATACGCCGCTGCAAGTCAATAAGATCGAAGAAGAGGGGAATGACTGAAGGACCGATGGACGTTGAGTTGCAGGACCTAATATAGTGTTAGTATCTGAGGTCTGGAAAGCCTGTCTCAGAGAATGCTCTCTATAGTCCAGGACTTTTCCAGCCATAGTCGGACTTCTATTGTCAATGCTAGCCAAGAAACAACATCTTTTCACTGGTCTATTTATTCACACGTTTGCTGATGTTGATGTTGGTTGGCTGGAAAAGGGGCTGGCCCCACTAATTCTGTGGGGACTTCATCACCAAAGCAAATCCATGAAAACTATGTGCAATGTGCCCAGTGCATGATTTCAGCTTTCAGTTGACAATTTAGATGCCTCGACATAACTTAGATGCCTCGACACAATATTGTCTCTTGAGCTGCAACCCAGAAGAGACCCCAATGACTACAGTTTAAAGCACTCGCTGAACATTTGTGAATTCCTGGATCAAATGAGATTGGCTGCGCAGCAGTGGGCCTGTTCAAGTGATGCAGTCAGAAAGGTCTCCAGCAGTATGTCAAAAGATGTGTTGCAATGTATCATTTTTTGCAATGTCTGGACAACCCTGCAAACAATCAATTGTCCATTAGATAAGAACAACACTAACACATCTCTCAGACTAATGCGCAGAGAACCATCCAAAGCATGATTTGTTAAGCTAATATTGATGTGACACTCATTTAGTGAGAGTTCATTGTTGGGCACTAGTGAGCTCATGGAAGCTGCGCCAACAGTCTTTGAACTCTCCCCTTCGGACATACAAAAGGCAGCAGCCGAAAGAGATCTCTTGCTGAGTTGGCTAGATAGCTTTGCTCCATTCCGAAGTCTGCCTTCTGCAAAGCACCATGGCACCGAATTGGCGGGGCCGGACCCTCAAAGCCCTTCTCATTTGGTGAAAAAGGTTTCTTAGCAAGAGGCTTTAGGTGAAAAGATGTCTGGAGGAGGTCTCTGATACTGGCACTTGGTCAGATGAAGATGTTGGACGAGTAGCGTCCAACAAATCTGAGCATTTAGATTGCACTGGCATTGTTTCCAATGTGGAGATGAGCTTTGTTGAACATTTTTGAATTTGAAGCTGCTTGTGCAAAGACAACAGGTTTTTTTAGTCTAGCTAAGCTCAATCAGTTTGGTCTTGCGTGACCCAGGGGTCTTCGCTATTTGGCACGTTTGTCGGACAATATGGCTCCTGTTCCGGAACTCCACAGGACGCACCCTGACCTATTGCAGACGAGCAACTTTTCAATACTTAATTTGACAATTGATTGTTTGCAGCTGCAGCAGCCATCTTTGTAAATATGGTTCCAGGTACTTTCAGAAGGGCAGCTTTATTGTGCAGAGGGACCATTGCCAGGACCATCCTTTTCTGAAGCTCCTTGGGGTTGCAAAGTGCTGGCTGTGTTTGATGTTTGAATTGTGAATAATGTTTGTTGTCCAGGTCAAAGAACTTCATTAGTTGTTTGACCATTGTACCATGTGGGTTTGCAGCATGTATTTCGTTTGACTTTGGCAGAACTAGTGAATATGATACAGAACAGTTTACCCAAAGCGTGCCATCTACTCAGGACTGCCTGGGAGCTTTTGAGGTTCAGGGTAGAGAAGCAGGTTTTTCAGGCAGAGGCGAATTGCCGGACAATCCTGAGGCAGGCTGCTGAAATTGAAGCAGGACATGCGTTGGACCCCTGGACCACTCCAATGGACCGGCCGCCTGGTTCCATGGTTCTGGATCTTGTCCAGAAATTATATGAGTTGGACCACTTGGACACAGTCGGAGTCTTCTATAAGGGCCGGTCCTTTGTGGCGCATTTCACCTTGAATTACACATTTACTTTGGACACCCGCCTCTTTGATGACAGTCTTGCAGATCTTGCAGTAAAATGTTTTTGGTACAATCAAAGTTATTTTTGTTTTGTTGATGTGCACTATTCACTACGGCTCCAGGGATGTGCTTTAACCTCAAGCCCAAACTCAGGAGACTGCATTGCGTTCAATGCCTTTGGACTTCAGCTTGTGCCGGACTTCATCTTCAGAGGGTTTTGTTGCGGGCGTGACAATGACTAATCAGTGTCATGACATGTCTTTGGACCCAATTTCAATTTTAATTTGCTGCTGGCAGCACTCCATTCGCTTCAGGACAAAAATTCTTGGCCGCATTCATCACCGGTCTTTCTTGGGGATTGCAGCCATTGAGGGCTTTGTTCATTTAGTGGACAATACTGATGATGAGTAGCCGCTGTATAGCTGAGTTTGTGAACTTTGAATGTTTGCAACCTGTACAGGTCCCTGCGCAATGCATTTATACATGACTCATGCCTTTTGCAGCCACCCAACTCAAGTTAGAATGGGCAGCTTCACTCACGTCCACCTTACCCAGACTTGTGGGTGTAAACTAATGGTCAATATCCAACAAGTCTATAAATAATCATTACTGCTAGCATGTCATGTTACCATTGGTTATTGCAATTTGTTGCGCTACATTTGGGCCCAGTAGGTTCTGGGCACTGCGCTTGAAAAAGCAAAAGCGATCGTGAGATCTGTGCGCTAGGTTCTTTGCGCAGCATGTAGAAGACCTGTCTGGTCAGGCTGCTGGATTGTTCTTTGCTGACATCAATCGCTGACATGTTAAAAGCTTATCAACCCACCTGTTGTGTGGCATGTTGTGGCAAGTATGATTGGGCTGAGCGCAAAATTGTTGTTTGCTCGCCGTGCATTGCGCGCTGGGCCTCAAGCCTCATGAATGTATAATGTACCCTATAGATGCATCAAACAAGCTTTTAAAGAGACAGTTCGCGGTCGTTGGAGTGCATGTTCGGATACGCGTAAAACCGAGACAGTTCTCTGTCAGTCATTTGTTGGGATATGTTGTGAAAAAAGAATGAACATAGCTGCGTCAAGTCTTTGTTTGCTATTTGATCCCATGAACATAGCCATAGCAGAATCATTTCTTTGTCAATCATTTGCTGGGGCTAGAATTAAGTCGTGTTTGCTATTTCATTCCATGAACATAGCCATAGCAGAATCATTTCTTTGTCAATCATTTGCTGGGGCTAGAATTAAGTCTTGTTTGCTATTTCATTCCATGAATATAACCATAGCAGAACCAGTTCTTTGTCAATCATTTGCTATGCTCATGGAGCTGAATCTGTGTTCTTGTCAGCATGAGTGGCTTCGGAAGTGAAAAGGAAGAGCCTTCTCTGCGGAACCTGCGAGCTGGCTACAAAACAGTCTCTCAAGCGGCGCTCTCAGCCCTACTCCAAGATATCTCGAAGCATGGCTTGCCCAAAGCCACATCCCGTTCTTCGATCAAGAGGTCGAAAGACTTGGAAGTAGATATCGAGACTCCATATGGAAAGCTGCTGATGAGCAAATCGTTCCAACTCTCAGAGAAGTACCGGCAATGTAGGCAATGGGAGTTTCATTTTGTGAACCCAGCTGCCTTCCTGCATTACATTTGCGCAACCTGCGATGATTTTGCATCAGTGTTTTGGGCTGCTGTCTCAAATGACCCGCCTACAATTGAAGTGCCTCTCAAATTTGTTTGCTACATGGACGACGTTGTTGCAGGCAATCCCCTCGCCAACCGCCTGGGGAGAAAATTCCAGATTGCGTACTGGTCTATATACAACCTGGGTGTACCAGCCATGAGCTGTGAAAGGTTCTGGTTTCCATTGGTGATGGCTAGATCTGAAGTTGTGCGAAAACTTCCGGGCAGAAGGGCTCAGCTGATGAAAGAAGCTCTGTTATTGTTTAGGCAACCTTTTGACTTCCAGTCCGGTTTGGTATTCAACTTTACCATGGGTCGCCTCATGCTCTATGCCCGCGTCGGCATCTATGTAGCGGACGAAGGTGCGCTTAAGGAAACGTTTGAGTTTCGTGGCGCTAGTGGCACGCGGCTTTGCCCGCTGTGCGCAAATATCGTAGGGTACTCTTCAGAACTGTATTTACACTCTTCAGATTTGATTTCGAGTACTAGTGCTGACCGTTCGAAGGTGCAGAGAGCGTCCAAAGAGTTTATACTCTCCACTTTGAATATTCTGGATAGCAAGAAAAGGACATCAACAAAGACTGGCTTTGAGAAACTCCAGAAATTTGCAGGATGGACTTGGAACCCAGAATCCCCATTGCTGAACACCGTCTTGGAGATCGATCTGCCCGCAGAGATCATGTTCGACTATATGCACACATTCTTCGTGAATGGTCTTTGGAACTTGGAGGTAGCACTGCTGCTGCCCAAGCTCCAGGAAACTGGGTTTGATCGCCCAATGCTTCACTCTGCCATTCAGGAGTTTGTGTTTCCCGACCATCTCAATGCTCGAGGGGTGACAGGGAAGCAGGTTTTTGTCAAGGAGTGCAAAGAATCGAGTATTGGATGTACTGCAAGTGAGGCGTGCAGCTTGTACGCAGTTGTGCGGTTTCTCCTCATTGAAAGGTACAACCGCGGCGAACTGAACTCTGTCAAACCAGCGTTGGATTCGTACATGAAACTGTGTAGAGCGCTAGACCTGTTGCTCGACGTCCGCCGCGGTTGCACCACCTCTTCGGACTTAACTGCAGCTGCCGATGCCCACTTACAGGCATTCGTGAAATGCTACACTGCTTCTAGCGTCTTGCCGAAGCATCATTATGGTGGGCACTTAGGGGAGATGCTTCAACGCTTTGATGGGTTAATTGGATGCTTCTGCCTAGAAAGAAAACATAGAGAATTTAAACGATGGGCCAGCCTCTCCGACAACACCCCCGCTTCGTGGGAGAGGGGGGTCTTGCGAGATGCCTTGGTTGGCCAGCTCGACAGTCTCCGCAAGCACGACGAAGGGTGCGAGTTTCAAGAACCTGGCAGGGAGTTGAAGGCTTTCTTGGCGGCATCGTTTGGACAAGCCGACATCACTGTGGCGGACAAAGTTTGCTTGTCGGACTTCGGCGCCACGGTGGCTCGAGGCGATGTGGTAGTGTTCTCGACAGACGGGACGCTCGAAGTCGGTCAAACCCAGTTCTTCGCCAGAGTCTTGTCTTCGGATTACGCATGTATCAGCGAGTGGCGCAGTCGCGGACACAACATGTTTGATGTTGCAGATTCTGTGCCTGTGCTTTGCCCTTTGAGCTGTATCTTGGACTCATGCATTCACGTGAAGCGTGGAAGCAACGTGGCAGTGGTGCCAATCACCACCAGAGATTCATACGTAGCTGGTTGAAAAAGCAAATGGACTTACTTGTCGCTTGGTTTGACCTTGTTTGATTTCACCGAGTTCATTCTCTTCACACGTTTTGTTTAATTGGTTTCCATGTTTGGAATCACGATTTTGGGGCCATTTGTTGTAACAATCTCCTTGCAATCAAACATCCAGCCTTCAAAGGCGAACGCAAGAGTGCTATATGCATGCAACTTGAGCCCCCAGCCTTTTCAAATGGCAAGCCCCAAACATGGTTGTGTTTTATTGGACTCTGTGTTGTGGATGATTGTAGATAGTTGTGGGACACGAGGCCCGAGTGAACAAATCCGCACGCATGTTCAGATCTGTTGTTTCGTTTCGTTTGCGTCCACGGTGCAGGTATAGCCTTGCCACAGCTGATCGCGGCACACATCTCGACAATGTGAAAAAAAGACAATGTCGCGCGATTGTTTTGAGGGAATTTTACCAGTGTTCAGTTTGGACCTTTTGGTATGGTCATTTCTTTCAAGCCTGCATTTTCAACATGTTTGGTTTAGTGTGGATGTGTTTGGTGTGTATGTTGCATGTCACAAACCACACGCAAGGTCTTTGTGAAATCAGGTCAGGCACTGCTGTGACTTGCGCATTTTGCATGTGGTCTTTGAACAAATCAGTTTGGTAGCAGTGGAATAGATAATGTCAAACCAACCCTGTTCTCCGAGAATCCGCTTGCTGCAGGTATCACATTGTGAGGCCGAGTCACTGAACAACGCGGTTTTAATCATACATTTGTCTTCGCAAAATATTTTTTCATAGGAAAAAAAGACCCAACCCGCGCGAGTAGTGGATGTATGCCCAAAAACAGCAAGAGACCATAAGAAAATATGGCCAGTCCGGAGCATAATCGATATACTTTTTCATGTTTCCCACCACCTTTGGGTTGTTTAATCGGTGTTGTTCACATTGCAAGTTTTTCCCTATTTGATCAACGTCACATCTTCTGGAGCTAAGAAACATCACCATATGGTTCCGTTTACAAACTTAGAGTGGCTTCCCCGCTAATTTAATAACTCTTGGTGGCTCACTTGGGCAAGCCTGCCAGACCTACTTAGCAACTTGGCCCAGCCTACTTAACAAGTTGTCCCGGCCTATTTAGCAAGTCTGCTTGGCCTACTCAGCAAGTCTGCCTGGGCTACTTAGCAAGTCTGCCCAATTGGTCTGGCCAATTTAGCAAGTCGACCCAGCCTACTTAGCAAGTCTGCCCGGCCGACTTAGCAACTCCACCAGGTCTACTTATACAAGTCATCTCGGCACACATGGCGCACATACCGCTAACTGAGTTATAAGCATACTTAAGTAACTCTGATAACTGATTACTAACTTAGCTATCCATAGATAACAAGTCTACCAACTTAGACAAACAAATAGCAACCACGCCGACCATCCAAGTAAGGGTCACAGTCATCCTCTGGCTGATTGCCAAAGCCAGGCCTGGTGAGCTGCAGGTGCAGAAGTACCAAGTACTTCTGCATGAGTTTTGTGCAAACTCTTGTGGCTTTGTTTCCAAAGCTCACACTGTGGCCAGTGACAGACATCTGTCCCACAAAGGATTCTGCTCTATAGTTGGCATGCAGCCTGATGTTCATCCATTTGCTGTTCTGAACCAAATGGAGCATGGAGTGGAACTTGAAGGTGATGTGAAAGAGCTTCCTTCCTTCTTCTGCTGCCCAGCAGTTCAACCTACTGTAGTGGTTGAAAAAGCTCGTGGAAAGCTCCTGTGCTGCTGCAAACTCTGCAGCAGTGAGAAAAGCACCACAGCCATCGAAGTGCTGCACCAACTGGTTGAAGGCTTTGCAGCACTGCACCATGCTTTGATGGATGTCAACTCCAAAATCCAGGCAATCTGCCAAAACCTGCTCCAACACTGGCACAAACCATTTGCATTCTGCAGCCTTGCATTCCAAGACTGGGAAGGCCTTGAAAGGAGACTGAGTCTCTGTGATCATCGACAGTCTGAGGTTAGTCAGTCTGTTGGAAATTCCTCTTTCAGAATAGATGTCTCTCACTTTGGCAAATATCACTTGGATCCTCTTGGAGGCTGAGACTTTCTGTCTGTTAGGCCAAACATGGAAGGCCCTGCTGTGCAATATGTGCAGGGCATCACCCCTGATCATAGCTGTTGAAACACCAGGGATTCCAAAGAGTACATGGTTGTTCTTTTTGGCAAGGAGTGCCTCTGCTGGGCACACATATTTGCAGTCTTGCCCTGATGCTTTCAATATCTTGACTGACTTGCCAGAAGGGCATGCAGCAAGGATACTGGGAGGCCCAATGTCCAACTTTGAGGACATTTGAGTAAAATTCAGCATCACCCTGTATTGACCACAGTGCTGCCCTGTGGTGCCCTTTAGTCGAGGGCTTGCCAGCAAAGGATGCCAACTCCCCTTGCCCCAAGGGTCTTCACAGGGGCGCCAACCCTTGGCCAACGCCTCAAAAGACCATGCAATCCAAGCGTCCAACACAGGCCATGCGCTGGGCAGTGCGCAGCTCTTGGGTATTGCGCAAATCAGGAGATGTGTATTGAGGCAGCTCTGCTTGGAAAGCATGCTGCCCCATGACCAAGTCATCAGGCTGCTTCTTGGGTATTGCACAAACCTTTGAGGTTTGTGGCTGCTTCTTCTGGGCTTGCAGCTCCTTCACTTGCCTTCTGGACTTTGTCTGCTAAGGTGAGCTTGCCCAGTTTGTTTAGATTTGTCTTTTTCAGGGTGTGCGCACCACTTCCTTTCCCTTTTGTCAAGGGATGTTTGAGAATGCCTTTTCCTTTTGTCAAGGACTTGCCCTTTGGTTTCCCTTTTTTCACTACCTTCATCACCTTTTTTGGAGCCATGGCTGACCACAGCTACACCCTGAATCAAATTCTCACAAACACAAAATGTACGATGCAGGCTTTCAACCCCTTGTTGAAAGGGCTGAAGAAACCTATGTCTAATTTGGTGTATTGTTTTCAACCCTTGTTGAAAAGGGCAAATGAAATCTATATGTAACTTAGTGTAGTGTGCTCAACCCCTTGCTGAAAGGGTGAGGTGAAACCTACATGTACTTTACTGTGTGGGTTTCAACACCTTCATTAACCTCAAGGGGTCACTGAATGGTTTTGCAACCTCTTGTGATTGGTCGGGTATGAGGCTTACCATGACTAGGTATACTATTGAATTTGCAAGTAAGTTGATTTAAACAAGTCTATTTGGAACAATTTCGTTGTTTTCTTGAAGTTGTGATTGGTGGTGTTGTTTCCTGTTTCTACTATTTATCTTTTACAAAAAAAATTGATCAAAACTATGACTTTTAAAAAACAATGCTGAAAAACCCTTTGCTGAAAGGGTAGTTGAAACCCATGGAAAAGGAAGAGGAAGAGGAAAAGGAAAAGGAAAAGAAAAGGAAGAGGAAAAGGAAAAGGAAGAGGAAAGGGAAAAGAACAAGGGCAAAAAACAGGAAAAAGGGGAAGAAAAAGAAAAGGAAAACGCAACAGAAAAGGAAGAGGAAAAGGAAAAGGAGGCATAGGAAAAGG